AGTTGCAGAGGAAACTCACCCTCACTTTTGTTTATATACCCAGAGTTGTGGGTCTATCTAATATAGGAACTGCCTGACAAATCCTCTGGTCCATGGAGTTCAGGGATAAGTTTGTCATCCAGACCCTATTTCTGAACTCTTGCAGTGAGTATCTTGGAGTGTGTAGAATTCCATGTCTCTGTGGAGCTTCCTCACACTCTCTTTTAGTATTGCAGACATGACCTTCTTGCAGAATCTATGCTTTCTTCTGGGAACTACATTCAAATATCATTTTACCTGATCCTACTCCAGCACTTCCAGAATCTTAAGTCATTTGAAATCTCTCTATTACTCTTGCTCACTGTCATTTTTTCTCAAAGCACCCATTTGAAAGAGGCAGTGCCCCTGTGGATATCTGTTCTACAAACTGCCCAACAGGCACAACCCATCTCTTCCATATAAAAATTTTCAGCCCATTTCTGACAGTCACTACTCTGAGCCCACATGATCAAGTTGAACATCTACCATCCTGTGAGGATAGCTGGGGTAGCTTCTTGTAGCTACAAGACATGTAGTGGTTTCTGATCTTTTCACACAGAGTCCCTACAATTGGACCCTTCTAAAAGGGTTTTGTAGTGAGGAATCTATTGGAATTCACTAGGTGAGTGACTCCAACCACTGTGTGGTGGAAATGGGGCAACTACTCCCAATGCCTCTCAGCAGAGTAGGTTGAATGTGTCTTGAATGTCTGCTCATGTATGTGATTTTGCATGCAGTCAATTTTCTACCAGACTCACATATGCCATGTGCTATCATGTCAGTTTTCTATCAGACACATCTTTATCATAAGCTGCAAATACATAAGCTGCAAATACTGCATTTCAATGAAAGTGCCATGAGATACTTTAGATTAGGTAGACCACAAGACCATGCTCTAGCTGCCCAGAGGTCTCAGCAAATCTATATCTGAGTTCTCTCATACACCCACCTTGATTGTTGTTGTGGGTTCCTCCAACCCACTGTTTTTATGCAATAGTTCAGTCTTAGAAAAAATTTTTAAAAAGAAAGGCTTTGTTTTGTGATATCCCAGTAAGCATGCCTAGATAAAAGAGAGAAGAGGCTCCTATCATTTTTCTCAAAGCACCCATTTGAAAGAGGCAGTCACTACTGTGCATGCACTCAAATTCTGCCTTGAAGATTCTGCAGTGCATCCACTTTTTCTTGACATACTCGTTAGAATCTAAGTCTCTCAATGGGTAAGAAAGTTATATTTAAATTTAGAGTAATCTAAATTATGTTTCTATTGTTTTTGTATAAAATATCATGTCTATAAAATAAGGGAGATTTTGATGATATAATATTTATATTTTAGAAATTTTTAGAGCACTGTTTTTATATATTATGTGGGTTTCATTTTGACATAATGGTGTACTATGAAAAACTAATATGCTCAAATTCTGTGCCAAATATCACCACA